GAACTCTTCTTGTGTTCCCGAAGTTACCCTATTAATCAGTTCCTCTTTTCCTCATCATCTTATCATAAGATGAAATGTTTCATTCATGATTCAATCTATGTTTTATAATTAGGTGATACTAATATGTTCAAGCACTTTTATCTTTCGTTTTCCTCCAGGGTCATACCTATTCACTTGATATTTAACCCTGACCTTCTGCGGTCCTACTAATAACCTCATACATAAAATCTCATCTGATGGAACTTCCAAGAGAGATCCGCTATGGGCTGTTTCTCTTAGGTATCTGACCACAAGGAGGTCCCGAAGGCTAACTCCAAGGGAAGTTCCCCTCAATCTGGGCCTTTCATGAGAATTCTCTATCTCATAGGATACTATCCTCATGGAGGTAATACCACTACATCCATGGAAAGGTCATTGCATACAATTTACCATCTTTTAGCAATCAATACATAGTCTAGTCTTTAATTACTAGACATAACGAATCACACAATCATAATTGAGTCCACAGTCTAAGCATGTGTGGCTCCAACCTCAATAAACTATGCATGTCATATTAATCTACATGCGTCATACCTCCCGTCAAGCGTGGGAACCTCTCTAGCTGGGGTTGGGTCGAAGTGCTAACATTTGCCGCTGCTGAAGGGTCATAGACCACTTGCACATGAGCAACTCGTCCCACGATCTGGGGACAATCCCTCGCATAGTGACCAGGTCTAGCACACTTGAAACATACGTTTTGACCCATCAAACAAACGCCCTTGTGATGCCTCCCACAGTTGTCACACTGGGGCACAAGAGGTCTTTCATTGTCCCAACTCTGTTGACTCCCGCTTCTCTTAAACTTTTCCTCAGATTGTTTAGCTTGTAATCTTTCTTTAATATTCCTGTCATCCATCTTCTTACCCTTTTCTGAAGTAGAGCCAGTTGCTCCACTAGCACCAGATGCTTGTGCCTCGGAAGACTTCTTACTTTTCAGCACACCATAAACTTCTTCCACCTTCCGGCATTGGTTCACGAATCTACTAAACTCTCGGATGTCACAATTTGACATCTTTCGAGACATCTTCTCATTTAGACCCCATTGAAATTTAGAGGTCATCTCGGCCGGAATGGGTAAGGCTCTCCCATAGTTAGCATATTTCACCAATTCATTGAACTTGGCGAAATATTGGTCAATTGTCATCGACCCTTGCTTGAGATCGTTATACTCATTCTGTTTCTGTTCCCTAGCCTCCCTAGGAAAATAGTTATCCAAGAACAATGTCTCGAACAACCGCCAGGTGATTTCCCGGCCTTCAGCTTCTAATGGCTGCACGGTATTGGTCCACCAATCTTCCGCTTCCTCTTCCAGCATATAAACAGAGTAGATTAACTTCATTGCGTCAGGGCATCTCATCACCCTGAATATCTTCTCCATAGCTTGGAGCCATTTCGCAGCCGCCATTGGCTCATAACCTCCCTTAAAAGAAGGAGGTTTGTGTTTTCGGAAAGCCATCAATCTTCTTTCTTCAGCTTCATGCTCGTCAACACGCTCAACACGTGGTTGACGGACCTCAGTGTGATGGCTATGACTATCAGAATGGTGGCTAGCCTCACCTTCATTGTTACCCGCTACACCCTCTTCCTGTGAAGGAGGTGGAGAAGGCGTAGCAGTGTGAGGAGGAGGAGTGGGTTGCCGGTTCACGGGCCTAGGACCCCTCAACGTCCTCAACTCGGTCATCATCGCGGCCATAGCAGTCCGCGAGTCTTCATTTGTCTTTAACAAATTTTCATTGGCTTGCCTGCTAGCAGCCAACTCTCTCTGAACGGCTGCAAGAGCTTCAGCCACGGGATCAGGCGGTACGCCCGTTGCCCCACGGCCACTTCTGGGCCTCACAAGAGCAGCCAAAACAGGTTCTGGCTGAGCATTGGTGTTTGATGGTCCGGGGTTGTTTCGGTGCCTCGTCATGTCACTACACATGTTACACAAAGAAGTGAGTTGATCAGGCCCACACTTAGTGATCACAAATGCAATAATCATCAAGAGTACTAAAACAACTATAAAGCATCAAACACTAAGCATACTCAACAATAGCTAACAGTTATTCCCGACGAAACTGCTCTGATACCATAAAATGTAACACCCCGTTCTAGAACCGGTTTGTTAACATCGCATTATGATATTAAGCGCAGTTACAATCACATGGGTTCAATTAAAATCCGGATAAATTTTTCATTTTAAAACATGCCGAATTTATAATGCCCAATTGCGTGATCATAACCATATTACCTTGCGGAATCAGATAAACCAAGCTTAACATCATGTTCTTATTCCATTTTTAAACCATTAATTTACTTCTTATTTATTTCCCAACTTCTACTATATTGTAGATCTCTTCGTTAGCTACGCGTGGTTTCAAACCGCTCCTCATTTGGAGCTCTGTAGCTCAAGTTATGACAATTTTACTAACTCAGGTGTATGCTGAAAAACTACGCGGGTAGGGCGCTTAAGCTCGCTCCAGGGCGCTTAAGCGCCCACAGACAGAGGGAATTTACATTTTTTAGCCACCAAGGGCGCTTAAGCTCGCTCCAGGGCGCTTAAGCGCGCTACCTGGGCGCTTAAGCCCCCATTTTGGGCGCTAAAGCCCCATGCGGCAGAAAGCTTTTGGTCTTCACAGGTGCATCAGGGCGCTTAAGCCCCCTCATGGGCGCTTAAGCCCCCTGAGCAGGCTTAAGCCTCCATTTGCAGGCTTAAGCCCCCTCTTCTGGGCAATTTCCTATACTCATATTTTTCATGCATCTTTCTTGGGGAATCAATCCTACACATTTTACAACCTATTTAACAAGCTTGTGATATCCCTATATCATTGCTCAACTCTCATCCTCTCATCATTGATTTAACGGAAATTGGGCAGCATAATCTTTGTTTTCTCAACGTTTCCCAACTTAGCACAAGGTACCTAATTGACTTTCCAGCTCAACATATCCAATACATAAAAATACATTCATGCATTTAACTTACAGTAAGCATCATACACCAATATCTTCATTACTTACAATATTACATCATGTCTTAATTACAAATCTCATATACATGCCAAAGGACTTAGCTACAAAATGAACATGATCAAAGCAAGTAACCCTGTATCAGATACCCATTACTACTACAATGATCATGCACTAAGTCCTCCAAAATACATCATGTGGCATCAAAATATACATATAGCAATGCTAAATGGCATGCAACTCAACATGTCCAGCTATCAGGTACAGTCTACTCACGCTTCTTGCCTCGATCAACCTCACCTCTATCAGTACCTGAAATGATGCCCCACAACACGGGGTGAGATATACGAATATATCACAGTAAACCAGAGGTCCTTGGAGATCACTCCACCCTAAGGTTCACTTTGATGTACACATAATCATAATAGCTTAACACATTCTTATCCACAAGCATCACATGGACTTCCAAGAGAGATCCACTATGGGCTGTTTCTCTTAGGCTCTTACCACATGGAGATCCACATAGGGCTGTTTCCAAGGGAAGTCCTTTCCTCAATCTATTCCAAGAGAGATCCTCAAAGGGCTGTTTCTCTTAGGCTCTTACCACATGGAGATCCACCTAGGGCTGTTTCCAAGGGAAGTCCTTTCCTCAATCTAGGAACCTCCAAGAGGGATCCACATAGGGCTGTTCCTCTTAGGCTCTAACCACATGGAGATCCACATAGGGCTGTTTCCAAGGGAAGTCCGTTCCTCAATCTAGGAACCTCCAAGAGGGATCCACATAGGGCTGTTCCTCTTAGGCTCTAACCACATGGAGATCCACATAGGGCTGTTTCCAAGGGAAGTTCCTACCAATCATCCTCATCATAATACTATCACTCATAACCTCAATCACAATCCTCAACCATTACCTCATTCATTATTGCTACTTCTATAATCATTCCTCAATTACTCTTAAACAATCAAACATCAACCAATAATCATCAATCAATCATAACATGTATCAATGCATGAATCAATGCATGAGCATACAATCACTATCATAATTACATATCACATCTCATAAACCATTTCTCCTCAACGGAGTATGGTGGAACACTCAATGGGATCAACCACAAGGTCCAAAGGTTTACCTTGCTCTTTGAGCTTTCCTCAATTGCACACAACCCCAAGGGTTGGTCACTCCACTTGGTCCTCTTGCCTCAATCCTATCAACACAAGGAATACAATCAAACAATGCTAACAATGCAAGGAAATCCATAGTTCCAAGCCTAGATTTCTCCAAACATCAAAGCATACTAAAATAACACTATAAACTCATTTCTACCGATTAAATGTCATTCCTAGCATTTTTCACAACATACTCTAAGCCTCATTCTTCCTTGAACATAGCCAATCTACTCAACATTTCATAAAAACCCTAAAACACTATTCATTAACCCTAAACTCATGCAAATCTCCAAGAATCATGTGAAAGAGAGTGGAAACTTACCACCAATGATCACACAATAGAGGAATGAGTGTTCCTCAAGCTTCCATGGAGGTAGAAACTCCCAAAACCCCACACTTCTCAAAAGGGGCGAATCTTTGGGGACCAATATCTCTCACCACAATGACTCCCACTCAAATCCTCTCTTCTCCCTCTCTTCTCTTCTCCTCCTTTCTGTTTGCTGTCGACGGGCAATGGGGGGGAAATGGGTTCTTCTTTGTTCTTTAGTCACTTAACATAGGTTAAGTGACTTTAAGCGGGTATTGGTTCGTCTATCTATTCAACTCCATTAATTACCAAACTTTACCCAAAAGTCTGGAATATTATTCTAGGAATATTACTATTTTTATTTTTATATTTTGGGTACTTTCGCCAGTACCCATTTATACCCCTTAATTTTCACTGAGTACACTTTTTAACTCTAAGTGACTCAGATTCATTTAATTAAGTCTTTTACTTAATTTTACTCACTAAAACATGCTTAATTATTTAATTAAAATTAATCAATTAAATGCTTAAGTTTGGGATATTATAGCGACCAAGTGATTAGGACTCAAGAGTTCATTCCTAGCTCCTTTGTTGTTAATAATTAAAGTGAGTTTCAGCACAAGTAATGTACTTTGTCCACACTTTGAGTCCAAACTCCAAAGGGCTTTTGAATAAGGGGTCATCTGAATTTTACTGGCTCCAGAAGCATACTTATTGTATTAAATTTCAAAAAATGTAAAATCAAGTTCAAGCACATATTATAAGGAACTGAATTTTACAATGGTGAATTATCAAAACATAAGACTGTAGCACAAAAGGGACATAGACAGCATAGTATGTTAGAGGAGTAATCTTTTCCCTTGCATTTTTGCAAAGAGATTGTTTCCCATACTCGAACTAGTAACCTTCTGGTTACAAGGAGTAATCTTCCCGCTGCTCCAAGGCTCGCCCTCCAACTTTTGCGTTTCTATGATTTCAAAATTACTAAAGATGAAACAAACAAAAGAAAAAGAGAGTACATACTATTTACGCAACCTAGCACATTGGCTTGCATAAATTATGTGAACCAAGTCAGGCTTAGATTGTCATGTAATCAGGCTAAGATTGCCATGTAAAGATCTTCGCATGGACTACAATATCACTATAAGATTGGAATTTCAGTTGGCAATCCACCCCGGCACATAATCTTAAACCATAGACACTCATTATGAGGTAATCTATCCATCCCTTCGCATTTTTGTGAAATTACTTTATCACAAAAGCTTCTTCTTAAGCTGCGAATTAGTAGTAACTAGGTAGTTATATTGTACCTAATGTTAGCTGTATGGTCAATTTGAAAATAAAGATAATTCATAATTATCAATATCATTATCATTATTTTGTACCACTAAGAAATGGTCCAAAATGCAGCATTTTTGTTCTTTTTACAAATAGCTAGTGGATAGAAAGATTTAACATGCAGATATTCCATGACGCATCGATGCATTGTATGAGTGTACAATACTATTTTTCAAAATAAAGGTGAATAATCCCCGTTATTGTATCACTCTTCCAATTGGCAAGAAGTCTTCCCTATGTAATTCCTCTAACCACAAATTAAGGTGAACCTTTACATATATTGTCTGAGCAAGAGAATAAATAGAAGGTTCAGAAATATCCTCGGTTAAACTCAGATAAACAGATGGCATGACAACATTGGCCACCATATCTGCATACCAGAAATGAAATCTAAATGACTTCTGCTAATAGTTGGGCTGATACATAATTACATATTAGTAAATATATCAAACAAGTAAATCTGGAAAACACCTTATCTCAGTCACATTAACAGGTGGAACTGATTAAGTTTACAATGCACTGCAATACTGTCAAATAAAAGTTGAATTCCTCAACAAACTGTCACTCTGCCTTTAGGACCTCATATATGGCATAATTGTTATTAGGAGGTTAGGCCTTTATCATTTTACAAAAGGCTATTGATTAAATAGAATTTTATTCATAGTATACAAGAATCTATATATATATATATATATATATATATATATATATATATATATATATATAGTTAGCTAGAAGCTTCTTATTTTCTGGATCTCCAATGCTGCAGAATTTTATTGCAATTACAACCAAACCAATGAACAGAACTTATTAACGTGTACACAACTAGAAAAAATATTTTGAGGACTAATATGGTAACATTTTACTCTATAAGAAACTAATTTGGTGACAAAACTTTTTGTAGGACTGGTGTGGCGACACTCTAATCTTCGGAGGACCAAATTGAGGGTCTACTCTAATTTTAAAAGACAATCAAAACTCTGCCTTTTTCTTCAACAGGGCAAGACTTACTTTGTCGATTCTCCTTCAGGATTTGCTTGCGTTTATCACTAATCCTGAGAGGGACTTGATTTATTTTCCCTTAATATTGTTGGAAATGTAATATAAAACCATTCAAGTACTTTCACCTAATATTTTAAACTTTTGGGAGAGTTGGTTTATGACATGGTATTAAGATCTCTATGAACAAGTGGCCTAGAATTCAGTCATTGCTGCCCCTATTCTTCTGATAAACAAGTTGAATTTCAGCCTAAGGTTGTGCATTATTCATGTTCAAGCCTAAAGGGTTCTTGGATGAGGGAGTATGTTAGATATATAATATAAACCATTTATATGCTTTTGCCTAACAACTTAAATTTTTGGGAGAGTTGATTCATGACAAACATAAACTAAAACTGATAAACCCTACTGAAACACTTTACAAATTTAAATTCACAACTATTATATAAAAAATTCTGAGCAACACCTTAAGATGCACAGGCAATACAAGGAGAATATGATGAACAGCCAATGGTTATCACCAGTGGGAAATGATGATACATATATTAGTACAAACAGATGCATTTAACTTGTCTAGAAATCAAATCTCATTTTTCTTGTTTTCCTTAAAACAATCCAATAATTGAATCAAAGGAATCAATGATTAATCTCATAACATAGCTTTAGCTTACAATTGATGAAGACAATCATTCAATTCTTTAGCTTGTTCGCGACAATGCCAAACAACTGACAGTGTTCTCCCCGAAGCACATTGAGCATATTTTGCTGTGAATTGATCACACTCTTTTAGTGCCTTCTGCTTCATTTAGCTGCGTAAAGCTGCAAAATTGATGAAACACCACCACATTAATCTCACTATAAAAAAAAATTAAATTTTTTTTTGCTTGATCTTAATTTTAACACCATTTGGGATTCATATAAGAAACACCCATTTGAACTTAATAATAATAATAAATCTTATTATTATTTTTATAGAAAAGTTTCAAATAATCCTTACGGTTTTAATTTGAATCACTTATCCCTTTTTTTTTAAAAAAAAATACTTATTTTTATCCATCCAAACCCATTTCGTTATAAATTTAATTAATTTATCTATTTTACCTTTCTCAAAAAAAAAAAAAATCGTGGACAAAAAGAGAAACAAAAAATGAGATGAAAACTTAAAATGTTTACATAAAAGACTATAAGTAAAAAAAAAAACAAAAATAAGAAGAAAAAAAACCAAATATGTTGGAATAAAAAAAGAAAATAAATTGAGAAAAAAAAAATCAAATATATTATAAACTTAAAACGAAACTAAAAATAAAAAAAATGAAAAAAGTTTAAATAAAAAAAAATAAAATAGACCGAAGACAAAAAAAAAATAAAAAACTTAATAACACTTCAAAGCTACAACTAAAATTAAAAAGTGTATCTGTGAATCTGTCCACTTCACTTCACTTGGGAAACAAAGATAGCATTCTCTTCTTAGTCTCAGATACAATTTTCATCTATGAAAAAATTGGGCGGGATGAAATTTATTAACACTCACTCTTTCTTTCATTCCTCTCTCTTGTCTTATATTCTCCACGAAAGAAAAATCCTAGTTCCTAGCCCCCTTTTCTTCTCTTCTTAGTTCTCACCCTTCAATCAAATCACAAAAATGTTTACCTTTTCGTTATCATCCCTTCCTTCTGAACAATTCATTGAATCTGACTTGAATGTTTTCTTTAAGCTTTCTTTCTTTCTTTCTTACCTTTGGCCGATGCTCTGCTCAGCTCAACTCACAATAGCAATACTGTTGAAGATCGATCTTGTTCAACAAGCTAAGCTGCCAAGTACAAGCAGCAGCTCAACTCAAAAAGGGTGCTGAGCTGATGGATGAAGGTATTTTTATCACTACTCTCTTTCGCCTCTGCTCTTATTTCATTTCATTGGTTCTACCATTTCAAAATAGTTTTATTGCGTTTTCTTTGTTTTTGTTTCAGCGACCAACACACTCAACAGAGGCATTTCTGAGCTAGTCCTCTTGATGGCACCCGACACTGAGATATTCTTCTCAATAATACTTGCTGCTGAGTGCTGAGGAAATAAAGGTAACTTCCCATACTCCATACCTTTATTTTTTCTTAAATCCTCATTAATAAATTTGTACTCTATGGTTCATTGTATCTGCTGGACTCTCTTGTGTTTGTAGTGTTAAGTTTTTTGTAGCTTCATTAATCTTTGAAGCTCAGTTTCAGTTCACTCAGTGTATTATTAGTTTGCCCCTGCTTTTAAAAAGTATATAAGAGGAGCTTAATTAATAGTTGTTTAAGTTTAGTGTGTGATTAATTTAAAGAGAAGAAAATAAATAAATAAATGAATTTGAAAAATTTCTTAATAAGATGAAAGTTTAATTGCTCTGTTTGTTTGTGTTACTTTATTTGGGGAATAGGAGAGATGCTAGACTACTGTTCTGTTGATCAGAGATCAGATCCTCCTCAGAGCACCTAATGTTGTGATTTGGTTCCTTGCTTCTCTCCTGTCCTGAGCTTTTCCACTTCCCCTACCTTTCTATCTCTTAACCTACGTGTCTCTCTCTTTCACCTTTCTCAAAAACTTGGCTTCTTATGGAATTTTGAAGCTTTTTTTCTTTCCAAAAATGATTAAGTTATTAATAAAGATTGAAAGATGAAGAATATTAATATATTTTTTTTGAAATTCTAAACATATTAAATAGTATATCATTTTTTTTTAATTTTAAACAATTATAGTTCAGTTCACCGAACCACCATCACCACCTACCCCATTACACAGAACCCTCTGTTACA